CCAAAATCGCTTCCATTATCACATATCACATTCTGGTGCTTTTTCTGTGAACTAAATTTCTTCCTGGATTAATATTTTACCCAACTTTCTAGTACATCTCTTTGGTATTTCTCAGAAAACTACTTATTTATTTCGTTTATTTTTTATTTAATCAATTTTTTTGTATGTTCTCAATCACTTGTTTCGTATGTTTCAAGTTCCGTCATTTATTTTTGTATTTTCAATCACGCTTGTTTTTTTTTTTCATCTTTTTTTATTCGGCGTTATTAGCTGTTACGCACAACTACAAGCAGATAGGGAAGCTGTTAGCTGTAGTATTTCTAGAGGGAACGCAACGATAACACAGAAATTGACCAAATTTCAAGGTATAAGTATGCCAGTTCCTCCGAAAAAACAAAATGTACCGCCTGCTGATCATCCAGCTAGAAATAGTGCTTTAGTGCACTTCAGAGAAGAGGAAAAAGAAAATCAGTGAGGTAGAAAAGATGATTTAAATTTTTAGGATCTAATTTTCTTTTTTTGCGTTTCGTGTTCTTTTTACACACAGTATTTTGTCCTTGTCCGAATATCGTTGCTTTCCTGTTCTTTTAATTCCTCTTCGTTTCATTATCATCATAACTGCTGTAGTACTCTTTATCATAGGCTTTTGCTAAAAACTTGTTTAACTTGGATGGTTTTATTGAAAGTTATTCAATTTTACATATACTTAATTCCTGTTAAGCATTATATTGTTATGCATTATCAATTCCTTTAATAATTCTATCTTTGCTTTTTTTTGTTTCTTCCTTCAGCTAAAAAAGTCGGAACCTTTTTATCTTCTTTTAATTGGAAGTGTGCATCTAGGATGGCGTGGGGGAGCAGCTCAGTAACATCACTAACATTGGGATAGACTACCACTGATAGATCGTGAGGTTTTGGTATTCTTGGTATTTTTCTTTTAAAAGCAATCAGACTGCTTATAAGCAACCCTCGAATTAGGGAGCCATCGATAGCCTTGCCAGCGAATGACTGTTATTGGCATGTGCTACTACTCGAATCGTGTTGGATACGGAGGAAATTTTTGACACTCACCATTAGTGTGTCATTTTAGAACAGCCTGAAGTACCACTCATTTTTCTCCATTTGTATTTTAATGTCTATTTTCTTAACACTGCCACTTTTCCTTTGTTTTTTGCGGCCGGTACCTCTGATAGTGTATCATATCCGGTGCATATCCTTATATTTAACATTCATTCATACTTTATCAGCTCGCTACTTGTAATCGATTTATGCCAAATTTATGCTACATACTCATACTGTTTGATCACATTTCATCTTGGTGGTTTAGCACTTTTTTTTTATTGGTACTTGTTGTTTTAGTATTTTTTCTTAAATTTTTTCCCGTAGGAGACCATTATTGTTTGAGTACTGATTATTATTTTTATGACTCAAACATGCTCGGATCGGACGCTTTGGAGCCGCGCAAAATCCGGTCTCATCCTGCGATTAAAACTTTACTAAAAATTGCCTGGAGAGGAATGCGATGTTAGTGGTATTACTGGGATGCACTGACACGCCAGGCCTTTGCTCATGTCTCCAGTGGTTATCCATTTCCTGTTTGTTGTATGCATAGGCGGATCCAAGACCGACTTCTGGAGGAGGGAACGACGGGCGTTGGGGAGGAGAGTACCCTCCTACCTTTGAACTATGCAAAAACTAGGAATGGAGTTGTAACAGTGTTAGTTAGTGTTATTTTATAGTGTGGTTTACTTTAGTTTTAGCTTTAGACTCGGGCTTTTTCAGCACTGGTGCCTATACCGCTTTGGAGAGAGGTGAGGGGGGAGGAGCGAAAGACCCCTGGATCCGCCTATGGTTGTATGAATGCTAGATTTTCCGACGCCGCCATGAAAAGATACCATTCTTTTGACGTTCCTTTTTTGTTGCGAAAGAGAAAATTGTATGTTTTTAATGTTCCTTTCTTCTGTCGAGTTTTTCTGTGCCTTACTGTAACGGTGCATTCATTAACTGTTCGTCTTGCTCCTTATTTCTGTCATTCCTGGAAACTTGGAACTTTCGTACTTGCTTAATAATTTACATTAATTGCATTGGAATACGTTTACAATTTGATGTTCATTTTGCCACCTAAATTGTAAGAAAAATTTTTTTCAAATTAGGCATGGTTTTTACA